GAATCCCACAAGAGCAATCACATCTAAACTATAGTTAAATAAGAGCAAGAGAACGAGAAAAAACAAGGGGATTTGAGAGGAGAAAGGAAAGAAGAACAGAATGCAAAAAATAAGTAACCAGGCGTGATGCAATGAGGGGGGATCTGGATGAACTATAGTTCACCAAATAAACCATCTTTTTATCATAATCACATTTGCATGTAGCTTAGGAAATGTAATTTTGCCTTGCATGGCCATGCATGCCTTTAATCCCAGCACTCCAGAGGCAGAGGCAGGCAGATCTCTACAAATTGGAGGTCTTCCCAGTCCACATAGGGAGTTCCATGATGGCCAGGGATACATTAAGACAGAGGAGGGGGAAGGACAGAAGGAGGAAAGGAAACGTAATACAATAAATCTGCCTCCTCATTTAGCAGTATAAATGAAACAGGTGAAGTTTCCCAGCTGCCACCCTGATCTCAGACTTCTTGTACATGTGTCTATGTGTCTGTCCTTTCTTCGTTCCCTCATTGCTCCAACCAGATAAAATCCAAAGTCCTGCCTGTGGCAGTAACACTTTTAGGTTGGACATCAGAATTCAACTACCTCTCAATGAATTGATCCACCAGCCGAGACACCCCACACAAGCATTTAATACATAAGCCTTTTCAAAAACACTTCGAACTTTAAAGTATAACAGATAGGAAGCATAGAGACAGTGAGATTAGAGGAAGAGAAGTGTGAATGGATTGTTAATATGAGCATAAAACCAAACAGCAACAAAAAAAAAATACCCAATGTGTTATGTTAATGCCTACCAGAAAGCAACCACCAGAGAAAGGACCCTGAACCACCCAAGTAGAGAGATTTATTGACATCAGTAGTCTCTGTTATTGATCAGTTCAGTGCTAGTACTTTGGATACATGAGTGGATAATCCATAAAAGTGGGAATTGAGGCTATGAATTGGACCCATTGTATGCATTTCTACTAAATAAGATTGATACACATATTACTGCCAACTTCTCATATGAACATATGAGCCCTCATCGTGCTATTCCCTGAATATACAAGCCAGATAATTGGTGAAAAACTAGTTACATTACAACACATCATCACAGAAAAAGTAGTGATTTAATCTTGGCTAAAATAGCAGATATTCTGGACATCAACCTGCATTTCTTGCTTGGGGGACTTTGATCAGCACAATTTTCTAAGGGCCTATGGATCAATGAACCCATAAACTCAGGTTCTCATCGGATAGGAATTCAGTTGTGCTACCCCTCCAAAATGCATATACTGAATTACTAACTCCTGGTATCTTATCCCGGGGGAAGAAGGTATGGTGAGTATTTCTGTGTACACTGTCAACATTCACACTTGGAACAGAAGAAGTCTTTGCCAGTTCTTGGAGCCTTACCTGGAGAAAGCTTGCTAGTCCCATGGGGCACAGGCATTGGAGTCCTTGACATGCTCAATATACGTCCACAGAGGAGTTCATTCACTCCCTATAAGTGAGAGCTATCATCTAGGAATAGGTAAGGTTCCTGACAAAACATGAATATGTTTGTTTTCTATTGCTGTGATAAAATTATGTACCCCAAAGTAGAGGGGAGGTCTTTTTTCAGCTTACAGTTTATAGTTCATCATGAAGGAAGTCAGGCAGGAACTCAACCAGGAATCTGGAGGCAAGAGGTGAAGCAGAAGTCATGGAGGAAGCTTGTTGCTGACTTTCTCCCCATGGATTGCTTGTGCAACCTGCTTCCTTATACAACCCAGGAACACCTGCCTAGGGATAGCACTACCCACAATTGAATGCACCATAGACTTACCTATGGACAATCTGAAGGAGACATTTTCTCATTTGACCATCCTCTTCCCAGATGACCCCAGCTTGCATCAAGTTAAAAAAAAAATCTAACCAGGACAGCTGATATCCTTATATAAAATGGAAATATATATGCAAATATGAACACAAGACAATGTCATGCAAACGAGTAGGAAGGATCCAGGCAATGCATCTATCTATATTCTGCGTAACACAATGATTACTAACAAACTATCAGAAGCTGAGAAACAGGCATGAAACGTTCTATCTCCTTGCCATAGCAAATGAACATCACTTTAGATCTAGTAGCCAGACTTTCAGAGATGGTATGACTGTGGGAAATCCTACATTTATCAAATATGGTATTGTGAGGAAGCTGCCAGCATGTTAACTCAGGAGATCAATTTCTTGAAGGTTTTGCTCTAGGTGCAGTTTGGACATGCTCCCTTGAAGACAAGATAAGCAACCATCAAGAATTCCAGCCAGGCAGTGGTGGCGCACACCTTTGATCCCAGCACTTGGGAGGCAGAGGCAGGTGGATCTCTAAGTTTGAGACCAGCCTGGTCTAAAACAGCTAGTTCCAGGACAGCCTCCAAAGCCACAGAGAAACCATGCCTTAAAAAAAATTCCATAAAAGAGGAGGGGGAAAAAATGAATGCCATAGGAGCCTGAATCATGATCATTGTTGAGCAATGTGGCTACAACAGGTAAATGTGTGTGGTATTAGAAATCAATGACTACAAATAGGAGTGGCCCTGTTTACCACCACTCACATTAACTCAGCTGCTATCTTTGTGTTACTATGGCCATGACTCAAGACTGTAGCAGGCCCAGAGATCCTTAATGTTGAGTAGGTATTAACAAAGAAGTCTGCAAATATAATCATGTCCAGCTAGAATCAGTGAGGTCTAAGATTCCCAGAGATAAGATAAAGCAAGCAGCTGGATCATCAGATAGCAATCAAAGTGGGCAGCAACCTGTCCCTTGGGGAATCCACGAAGCACGGAGACTCTGTGAGTATATGTTTTCGGAGAATAAGACTTTGATCTCTTCAATGGGTTAGGTGAAAAGCGCTCGCCAAGCAGGGATGGTGAGAGGGTGGGATAGGGTAAGGCTGAGGGGAGAGGGGATACTCATTCACAAGGTGTTCCTCTGGTTCCATTTCTTCATTCTTCCCAGCATCTCCCTTAGAGCTGTCAGTTGCTATTTGCATCTTGCTTTTCCTAAACTTAACTTTTATTCTACATCTCTCTACTCTACTAAGTCAGTTCCCTGTCACTTGCTCTCATTTATTGATTATGCCACTCAACATTTTGAGAAAGGCCAGAGAAAAATGCAATGGTTCGATCCTCTATCGTTTACCTAATCTTATTTCTCAGATAGAGAAACTGAGACTCCAGGAAGTATAGACATATAATGGCTTGAATCAGGTTGTATAGCACAGTCAGGCTACAAATGAAGCCACCAGCTCAATCTCCCAAGGTGCATGGAAACAGGACACACACACACACAAACTTGTGTGGTGGTCTGGGGAGGGGGGTATGAATAGAGGCTGCTGGGTGTAGCCTGAGAGGAAATGGAGACAGATGCTTTTGTCTTTGGTTTTCTGGCCTCTCCTACTTCACTGATAAAAATTACTTTAATAGTTACTGTCTCCTAGGAACCTTTCTATGCTTTCCACTGCCTTGAAGCAAGTACAATCGTCTGTACTATTCTATTTGCCATTATTTCCCAGAAGTATACAGTATTGTCTACAAAATTCAAATGGCTCCTTAATGCCTATAGATAATCCTGAACTAAGTGGGGATCAAGGACAATGGGGGAACATGGCATGAAGAGATGGGAACAACTCTACAATAGACAAGAGAGTGGATGACAAAGTACTATATAAATTGAAGGTGATGAGCTTGGGTGATTTAGACAGGAAGGGCTGATGTGCTGATGAATTTGGTCTCAAACATTGTATAACAAAGGCAGTGTGGCAGCCATACAGAGACATCTAATGGACAGATGGAAAGGAGGTAAAAGTTGCAATGTTATGTCATGGAATCCCAGACTGGAAAGTTTTTACATTCTTCCCAATCTACTCCTAAAAGCCATGAGAGAACATGATAGTTCCAGAAAGTATCAAATCAAAGGGAATCTCTTAGTGATGGGGGAGGCAATTTGAGTGGGTTTCACAGGACAGAGATAACAGGGAATGGGAAGGAGACATGTTTCTAACATATAAATGGTTTTTTGTTCCATGAAAATTGAGGCACATCTAAAGCCCAATTCCTTCTATGATGCTGCTTTCCTATTGCTGCTGAGCAAATGGCCAGTCTCGGTACCTCAATACAGATTTACCACCTTATAGTTCTGGAGGTCAGATCTCCAAAGTCATCCTCACTAAGCTAATGTCATGTTAATGGTTGGGACAGTGAAAGGACTCAGCTTGTAAAGGTGGCTGCAGCCAAGCCTGACATGGGTTCAGTCTCTAAAACTCTAAAACTAAAAGAATGCTTGTGATGGACAGAGAAAACTGGCTCCAGAAAGTTCTCCTCTGACCTCTACATGTGCCCTGTGGCATATGTATACACACACACACTAAATATTATTAAAGCTTAATATCATGTGATGGCAGGCTCTAAGGAAGGGCCCATTTCTGTACCTGCTTCAGCTTTCAGAAGCTTACCTCTACCCTTGTGACAAGTCCTTCCTTCATTTTTGAAACACATTGCTCCAATCTGTGTTTCAGCCTCAGATCTCTCCTAGTGTTGACCCTGTTGCCTCCCTCTGACTAGGACATGTGTTTCTCAGATTCCCCTCACTCTGACAAAATATCTGAGAGCAAGCTTCTTCAGGGAGGAATATTTAGCTGAGCTCTATTGCAGGTGTTAACAATGTTACTTGACTCTATTGTTTGGGGACCTGTGCCAAGGCAGACTATCACAGAAGTAAGTGTAGGGAGGTGAAGGATATTCACCTCATGGTGACCAGAAAGTAAGAGAAGGGAAAGGGTGAGCAGCTCAATATGCTTACAAAAACATACCCTAGCAATCCACCCTATCTCAGCCCATGTCCTCAACTTTTCACCACCTCCCACAGCACCAACGCCCAGAGACCAAACCTTCAACATTGAGCTTTTGGTGGACCTTGATTAAAAAGACAAAACAAAAGAATCTTTTGTTATTTTTCATGCTGAGAAAGCAAGATAATTTATCTCAAGATCTTTTAATTAATCACATCTACAAAATCTATTCTTCCAAATACTGTAGCAAAGTCACAATTTCTAAAGGTTACAGTAAGAACATTGAGAGTAAGGGCATTTTTGGTGGAAGGGGAGCATTATTCAGTCTGTCACACTAAATTTACAATAATATTCATGGCTATTAGTTCTTGTCAAAATTTAATCAATATAGCTTAATAACAATAAATGAGCAAGCAAATAAAAACTGTTCAGTGATTTAATATGAATTTGTTTTTGGGGTCAATTATGTGCTTGTCATGTTTTAGGCTATTTTAGAGCATCCCAGGAAACCAGATTTATTCTATACCTTTGGCCTTACTTGATCTCAAATCAATTCACTGATATGTTAAAATGACATTCACTTTATTGATAACCGTGGAATGAAAACAAGATGATAAGCCTAAAATTTAAGGAATAGACGAATAAGGGCAAATGCTACAAGAGAGATTGCTGCTAAAACCCCTGTGTTATGGACCTCCCTGTGTTCCTGAGCATACATATTCTCAAAAGTTGTATTCGAAGTCTGAGGTAAAGAACTGTAGCTCTTTGGTAGGGAAGAACTGTGGCTCTTTGGTGGGGAAGAACTGTGGCTCTTTGGTGAAGAACCGTAGCTCATTGGTGAAGAAGAACTGTGGCTCTTTGGTGGGGAAGAACTGTGGCTCTTTGGTGGGGAACCGTAGCTCATTGGTGAAGAAGAACTGTGGCTCTTTGGTGGGGAAGAACTGTGGCTCTTTGGTGAAGAACTGTTGCTCATTGGTTGGGAAGAACTGTAGCTCATTGGTGAAGAAGAGCTGTAGCTCATTGGTAGGGAAGAACTGTAGCTCATTGGTAGGGAAGAACTGTGGCTCTTTGGTGGGGAAGAACTGTGGCTCTTTGGTGGGGAAGAACTCTGGTTCTTTGGTGAAGAACTGTAGCTCATGGGTGAAGAAGAACTGTAGCTCGTTGGTGGGGAAGATGGGGACTTGAGCGGTGTTGCTTCATTTGCAAAGGCACACACTCCATGGCAGCCCAGAGCGCATGCCTCACAATTGGCTGTGTCATGGGGTCCATCCAAATGCACCCTTTCATTTGAGGTTGATGGTGTCTTCTTCAAGCCATGTCCATAGTATTTCCGCAGAATATAACTAACTAGGTTCTCCAGAATCCTTTGGATGTTCTCCATGGAGAATTCAGGATTCTCAAACTTAGACCTAGTACACTTCTGGCACCTCTGACCGAAGATCCTCATGAGCACCTGGCCCTGAGATTTCCCAGGCTCCCGGTACAGGTGGCACAGGATTTTCACTTGGGCAGAAACCCAGTATCTGTCACATATGGAACACAGGAACCTGTAGGCAGAACAAAGAAGCCACTGTGTCCTTAGCTGACCATTGACCTGAGAGGAAATGGTCAACTAAGGGATTCTAGGAATCCCCTTCATATAATTTCAAACATCCTGGTAACAGATAAGCAAGAACAAGAGGCATTGTGTTTTAGATGCTTTCCTGTTACTGCTGAGCCTACATCTTTGATAGCAAAAGCCTCTCTGGAAGTCTTAAAAGGAAGACAATTTGCAGGGTGGCAGAGACAAAGAACACCTTTAATCCCAGCCCTAGGCTGGCAGATCTCTATGAGTTCAAGGCCAGCCTGGTCTACAGAGTGACTTCCAGAACTGTCAGAGCTATTACACAAAAAAAAAAAACCCTTGTCTAAGGGGGAAAAAATTGTTACTATGTACATGGAGCTTCCTTCTTCATTATGACAACAGGAAACTTGTATAAAGTACTTATTTTGAGACAGGCAGTACTGATGTCTTTCAGTGTTATCGCCCTACATTCCACACAGGTATTATTGAGCCCTTTATCACTAAGAAAAGCAAATAATAACATGTATACACAACTTGCCTGGAATATAGAAGGTGAGTGAGAGAGGGTTGTTTTCTCAGCCTAGGCCATTGAAACCAACCTTATCATCCATCTACTACAGAGTATACCACTAGAGAACAACATGACTAATCTTAGAAACAGACTAGAACATGTGGAAATGTATGTCTGAGGATTCATGCGGAGTAGAACACAGTATGTTTGAGGTAGGGCAAGAGTGGACAGCCAGAGGGACAAATGAGGAGGTAGGAAAGAACTGTGGGTCATAGGGGCTCTAGAAAAGGCCCTAGGGTACTAGAGGCAGAGGGGTTGGATTCTCAGACCAGCCATCTTACTCTCCGGACAAGGCAGGAGAGCTGGTTCCTACAACATGGAGCTGGCTTGGGACCACAGGGAAGGCAGTCAATAAAGAAGGGCATTCCACGACACTCCCTGACCTGGGTTTTAGCCTTCTCTCTTTTTTATCCATAGGCTTTCTCTAAAGCGATATACAACATGGCTGCTTGATCTTAGTTGATTTGTAGGAACTAGCACTGAGCAGGGGTGAGGCAAGGAGACTTATTGCATCCTGTAGGGACTAGTCAGGATTAGCACAGGAGACAACCTTAAAATTCCATCCCCCCATTTTTCAATTCTCACTCCCTACAGGCAACACCATGCAGGGAGTGGGGGCCTGCCCTACAAGCGCTGGGCCCTGAATAAGAAATCCATATCTCCTGAGAAGGCCAAATCTCTGGGCTCCCACAACTGCATCTGTGTGTTAGAATAGCAATAAAGGCCCGCCAAGGGCAAACTCCTTTGTGTCAAGAGAATAGAATCTCTGACCTGGGTTGATACTTAGCTTCCATTTGGACCAGCTAAGCACCTAGCCTACTGACCAACCACCCCTAAGAAGATCCGTTCACCTTAGGCCATGCTGGCAGATAAGTGGGTCATGCTTTTAATGATATTGTACATTTCCTTCCCAGAATTCTTGCTTCTTATAAAACTTACAAAACTTAGCTCGGCAACTCTCCTTGTCTGGCTTCATAAGTCTGTTCACTTTTCTGAATTACTCAGGAGAGTGTTAACTTTTCCTTTTCCCATTCCCACCTCTGCTCTAAGCATGCTTTCCAGTGTACTAGCATTCAGGCACACTGGCCTGCCCCTTGGAGACGTGGCAGAGCGCAGCGGTCCTGAGCGCATGTGCATGCCCAGTAGGCAGGCAGTACCCTGGTCTGCTGTGAGGTCTCTGTGTACATGCGCTGCGCTCCTCCCTTTACCCGCCTGCTTTCTCTCTCTTCTTCCTCTTCCTCTCTTTCTCTCTCTTCCCCTCCCCAAGCCCCTGACCGGTCCCCTCTGTCTCTGCCCCCCCACACACACAAGGCCGCTCTGTGCCCCCTTCCTCTCTGCTCTCCCTCCCTCCCTTCCTCAATAAAACTGTCTATTTGAGTGTTGTCTCTTACCTGCCATTTGGCTCCTGTGTGGCTGCACAGTGTAAGACTGTGACACTGGCCTAGCTTACTTGTTCTCTGTGTGTCCCACCCCTGCCCTGTAGCTATTTAGCACCACACAGCTCCACAGCAACTTAACTTACAGGGTGGAGCCTTCTGCCCTGTCTCCATTCTACTCCTCCAGGCAGCCACTGATGGCTTTACTTTGAAACTCTAATAAAATTGTTCTCAAACTTCCTTCTATTTGAGTGTCCCTTCCATTCTAAAATTCTTTTACTGAAGAAATTAAGAACCCAAAGAAGGAAGCCTACTTCTCCTGGTGTCACGAGGCAACTCTAGTATGGCACCCCACCATCTCTGGTGACATGCTCATGTGGATTCTGTCTCATCACTTCTGTAAACTGTCACACTGCTACATCAGAGGCAGAGACAGATTAAGAACAGCTGTGTCCCCCATTTGGACCCAAATTGTAGATAAATCCATTTTTCCATTGTATATATTTTATTACGTTTCTCTTGATAAGAGGGGTAAGCCATTGGCTCTAAGACTAGGCCTTCTCTGGCTAGAGATTCAGTAAAAGAGAGAAGGAAGAAAAACTTTGGGAGGAATTTGGAGGCATTCTTCAAGGACTCTAGAAGTATTTTTGTAAGGACACTGTCTCCAAGCCCTTACCATGTTTTGGCCTGGGAGGAATGACAAACTCAGCAAGTTGGTTTTGAGTATATAAGTTTTACTTCACACTTGTGTGTGAAGTAACACACAAAGTAACACACACAAGCATAAGCAAACAATTCTAAGAACCACAGACAATAGGCTCACAGCAGGGGGTACCTCTCCTGCACCAGCCTGCAGGTTTGGACTCCTGACTTCTCTTCCTCTGGATTCAGGCTGTGGAGTCTCCTGAGGACCGGTTATCATGGAATCGGATTCAGACCGGGCAGGCAGCACTCAGCTTGATGGACTGGTTGCTTCAGGTTATCAGAGGAGAACTCCAGGACATAAAGTCATGGTACACTCTAAAGTTTCCAGTTTTGAGCTGGTCCTTAAATAGTTTGCTAAATTGTGCTAATCACACTTTGCCACATTCCACACATACTCATTCTTATCTACAATGGCTGGGTAATGGGCCTATGCTCCCTTTCCTTTAATCTTTCTTCAGCCAGGCCTTTGCCCGCCCGGTTGTAATCTTTGCCTTACTCTCCCTGCATCTAGGCCTTTTGCCTGCCTAGTTACAAAGCTCCTTACAGACACCCAGCAGAACACAAAAACTTCCTATGTCAAACGAGGAGGCTTGGAGTTCAGGGGGACCCTAACCAGCTCCATGGCCGCAAAAGACTGAGAAGCCTAGCTAGCCACATTTGTTCTTTCTTATATAGTAGCAAGCTGACAGAAGCTATTCTGCACTCAGTGTGGCCTTCAATAGGATTGGCTGCCCAACCCCCACTCACCTGCCAATTCCTGTCTGCTGGTACTGCCTCCATCCCTGGGCCATGCCATTAGGTAAAATGTTCTTATCCAACTGCAAGGTCCACTTGGCTTTGGGTTTCTCCTCCTGGATCAGCTCTTGAAACATCTGCTTCCATGTACTGGCATCTGAGAACAACATTTTCTGAGGTGGAGGCTGAGGTCTGGGCATAGTAAGCAGCTTGCTGTCTTGCTCAATTCTGGGAGACAGAGGGGAGAAAAAAAAAATAAGTTTCAGTTTCCTGGTTGTTTTCATTAACTTTCGGTTTCCATTTCCCGTCTCTAGCTTTTGGTTTACAAGGTTCACAGAACAGTTCTTGTTTGAAAAGGAAGAAGGCAGCAGAGTCCCACCACTGTGTTAAAGGGCCATCCTGAAATTCCTGAGTGTCCAGTTCTGGTGTGCATGATAGGGGCCCATGTGTGTGCACCTTTCTTTTCTTTTTTTTTTTTTCTTACAGTTTTTATTGAAAGCAAAGCACTAGTGTGGGGGTTGAAAATAAGGAGCGCCTAGTGACTGAGACACAGTGCTTGCTCCAATAGATGCTAGTGGCCTGGTGGAGATCTGAGGAGGGCTGTAGGAGGTTGTGTCCCCAGTCACCTTATGACCCTGAAAAACCCACACTGCAAGCCCCTAGCAGGGGAATTTTCTTGGTGTAAAAAATATTATTAAATATGAGCCGTTTCCATTAAACACTATAAAATTTGTGTTTGCAAAAGAATGCAAAGCTTTTTGACTCCTCTACCTTGCATGCAAATATTTTAACACCCTCCCACCCAGTAAAGTCTTTGTTTATACAAAGGCACTATTACATTCTGGGAGCTGACCCCATCCCAATTTCCTTTCTTCCCTTCACCCAGGGTCTTTCTACATCAGCTAATCTTTAAACTGTGTTGTCAGACCCCTGTCAATGGGGGAAAGACACAGTCTCCACTTGAGTTAGATTCAAAACCAACTGTGCTTTCTGCCAGGTGTGTTCAAATCCCTGATAACACCCACTTGACCAGGGGTAAAGTTTGCCTTGTCCAGACACTAAAATGTGAGTCCGGTTCCCTTTTCTTGTCATCCTGAAATTCTTTCTAACACAGGTATTTTGTAAGCAAGCACACCAAGGGCTGGCAAACCTTGCCCAAAGTTACAGGCAGGTGAACAGAGGGAATATTTAAACCTTGGTCTCTAGGATTTAAAAACCTGCGGTGTCTGCATCCACCTTACTGCCTGGAGGGAAGCGAGGAGGCTTGCTGAGCCAGAGAACAGTAGTAAATGCCCGATTTGGTAGTCTGAGCTAGGGATTCCTTAATGCCCCAGGGGACAGACTAGGAGACCAAACTGAACAGAGTATTGCTCACATGAGAGCCATTCTAGTGAGGCAGTCACAGCAACTCTGTTGTCACAGGTGTTCTGTAGACTGTACAAGTTAACGGCTAGTACAAGAAAGTGTTCATGAGAGAAATACAAACCTGATGAGCCACAGTCGTATTTAGAGACTCAACAAACCAGGAAAGAAACCAGCCCCTAGTCCTCTGAACTGCAGTAACCAGCTTCAAATGTGTGTGCTGGGCTCTTCAACTGGATCTTAGCACCTTCCCTTTCCTAGGATCCTATTTGTCTTTGGGTTTTTGGGCATATGAAAACTGCAGTCGATTACAAGCCTGGTGAGGACCAGTTTTGGAAGCTAACCAGCTGATCCTGCAGGTTATTAAGGTACAAATATCCAGACTGGGCAGGCGGATCTCTGTGAGTTCGAGACCAGCCTGGTCTACAAGAGCTAGTTCCAGGACAGCCTCCAAAGCCACAGGGAAACCTTGTCTTAAAAAAAAAAACAAATATCCAGACTGAGGAGGTATTTTTTTGACTTTTAGGAAGAGGATCCTTGATGTTTTTGAAGCCTTGGGTTTGCACATCAGCTAGTACTTTCATATGTAAATTATCCAACAGGGAACCTAGGAGCCCAGGTGGGGGACATCTCTCACAGATAGAATAGAATGAATTGCTATTTTGTTTTTGTGTTTGTTTGCTTTTGAGCAGGGGAGCATCAGGAATTGAACTAGGTCTTTTAAAGACATACCTAACTCAGTTTGAAACCGAGCCTGGAAACTTGGTCCCTCTGAAGTCTAGTCAAATGGAAAAGATGTGAGAAGCAGGACATTCCATCCTTAGAACCACATTTCCTCTTCCATCTTGGAAACAGAATCCACCTATGGTCTAGAGCCTTCTAAGTTTTAATGTGACTTTATTGGGAGCCAGACTTGTATAATCTATTTTGTAACCCTCTCCTTTATAACATAGGAAAGCACCTATATCTAGACAAAGAACACAGGAAATTCTAGGAGCTTGCAATTGGATATATTCTGTCCAGAATACTAGAGCTAGACAACACAGTTTGTTCTATTTTGCTCTCCTTTTGATTTTAAGATTTAAACTTTTAATGATTCTTTTATTAAATCTTTGATAATTTTCATACGATGTACTTTAATCACATTCTTTAGCTCCTCTCACATCTCCTACCTCCCTAATGTTAGAAATAAATCCAGGGCCCAACTTCTGCTTGCCCTCTTTGGGATCTCCTGGCCTGGAGATTTCGGAAGGTTGACTTGCCCTAACAGACCAACCCATCCAGAGTCTGCTGACATTGCAGTGCTAGTCCCTCATCCACCCACCAGGAGAAGGAGTGTCTCAGACCCACCTGTATCTACCATGAGAGCCATTGGAGTATTAGACCTGCTTCCACCCACCGGAAGAGAACCTTGGACCTGTACCCACCAGGAGCGGAAGAGACCAGACCTGAACCCACTGGAAGAAGCGATGGGAAGATGACAATATAAGAACACATTTAACAACAGAAAATCCAATATGATGCCATCAGAGTCTAGGGACTCCATACCAGCAAGACCTGAACATCCCAACACAGATGAAGCAGAAGAGAACCACCTTAAAAGCAACCTTATGAAGATGATAGAGACCCTCAAAGAGGAAATTAGAAAACCCCTTAAAGAAATGGAAGAAAAAGCAAAGAAAAAATTCAAGAAATGGAGGAAAAGGCAAACCAAAAAATGCAAGAAATAAACAAATGACTTAAAGGAAAGCCAAGAAAAAAACAAGCAAAAAAACAAATGAAGGAAACCAAACAGTTCAAGGTTTGAAAGCTGAAATAGAGACAATAAAGAAAAAACACAGTCTGAGGGAATGCTGTAATTAGAAAAGCTGGGCAAATGATCAGGAACTACAGATGCAAGTATAACCAACAGAATACAAGAGATGGAAGACAGAATCTCAGGCATTGAAGATACACTAGAAGAAATAGACTCATTGACGAAAGAAAATCTTAAGTTCAACAAATCCCTAACACAAAATATCCAGGAAATATGGGATACCATGAAAAGGCCAAACCTAAAAATAATAGGTATAGAAGAGGGTGAAGAAAGCCACCTCAAAGGTACAGAAAACATATTCAACAAAATCATAGAAGAAAACTTTGCCAATCTAAAGATAGACTGCCAATGAAAGTACAAGAAGGTTACAAAACATCAAATAGAGTGGACCACAAAAAATTCCATTCCCCACATAATAATCAAAACACCAAACACACAGAATAAAGAAAGAACATTAAGAGCAGCAAAGGAAAAAGGCCAAGCAACATATAAAGGCAGACCTATCAGAATTACACCTGACTTCTCCATGGAAACTCTGAA